CGACGTTCTAATTTATTGAGATGCACCTGTATATATATATATATACAGTATATATACGCATATGTGTGTGTGTGTGTGTGTGTGTATAGAACGCCAGACCACTGATTCGTCAAACCTGCTTTCCTGCAGTCCGTGTTCTTCTGACTCTTGACTATTTTTGTAGTAAGTAACGAATATGCTTCCAGGAAATGTATCGGGGTAAAAGTATACATTTTAATTAGGAAATGTAGTGGAGTAAAAGTAAAAGTTGGCTGAAATATAAAAACTCAAGTAAAGTACAGATACTCCCAAAAAATACTTAAGTACTGTAACGAAGTATTATTACTTCGTTACGTTACACCACTGAATGAGGGTACAGTCAGCAGGTACTGAATGAATGTCAGAAGAGAATTTTTTGAAAAAGTTTTATTAAATTATACTTTCTAATATAATATAATGTAATAATACATTCTTATAATAATACATTTCATATAAGTTATTTGGTTGTCGCATTGGCCAGTAGTATAATATTTCTTGGATATACGTACAGTATATTGTGCTTTTTTATGTATTACTGTACACCCAAAGCGCTTTGCAATCATATCAGGTGGTCACAGGAATGTCTCAACCTGCTCTGAACTGGTTAAAATAGGTGAAATAGGTGGTGACTTGGTAACTGCAGAACCAAACCAGATTGAAATTGGGAGGCGGAAGATAGCTTAAAATAAGTGTTGGGTGTGTGTTTGTGTAAAGAAATGTATGTATGTTCCTGTGATCAGAATGTGATCAGTCATGTTTTTCTTGAATGTGAAGGTGCAAATGACTGACCACTGCATCATCCTCAGAGAATCAGTTAATCTTGGACAGGAAATGTAATGTGTGAAGATTCAGCTGACTAAGCCAGAATGACCAGACAACTGCCAGTGTTGTGTTCAAATTTGGACCCTACATGGGGGAGGAAAAAGAAAACAATTCATCTCTTGGTTCATATTTTATGTATGTCTGTATGTAAATTATGTGGGAATCAATACAGTAGATCCTAAAATGAAAGATTTAGTTGCCAAATTATTTTTAGTCATTAAATTATATCAACATTACGTTGACCAAAAGTCTCAATTTAGATGGCTACTCAAACAAGACATTCTTTCAGAATTGTATTTCTAATTTTTCCTGAGTAGTGACTTGCTTTTTATTGCACAATTTGTAGTTCCCTTTAGCGATATGATAAAATCAAATGTGGGACTACCAAAAGTACTTAAAGTATAATGCATTATTCAGAAAACTGAATTTCGGTCTCCTCTGTGTGTTTCAGGCAGTAGTTGGTAGTGAAGAGTGTGTCTCGGCTTTGCTGGTGCATGGAGCCTCCTCTCTGTGCAGGGACATTTATGGCAGAAGCCCTTTGCACTTGGCTGCCTCTTGTGGTCACGCATGGCTGTTGCGTCCTTTACTTGATGCAGCATCACTCTCAGACCCCCTTGACTCTCTGCTAGACTACAGTGCCTACACACCTACTCACTGGGCTGCTTACCATGGTAAGATGCCTTTCCATTCCAGTACAGAAACATCAGCTGAGAATTATACTAATGAATTACAAATCTCTTGTTTGCAACATAAAAATAAGGAAACATTCTGTATTTTCCAAGGGCACAATGACTGTCTAGAAGCTTTACTTGAATATAGGCCATCAAGCTTTCAGGAAGGAAACCCCTTCACACCACTGCACTGTGCACTGTGAGTGATCCTCACCTCATCTTCAAAATGTTTCTGTACACTTTCCACGATAAGATCCATTTCCTCTTCCTTTTGCCACAGAATTGCTGGTCATGATGGTGCTGCTCGACTGCTTGTTGAAACTATGGGAACAAAAATCGTGAACCTCATAGATGGCAAAGGAAGGTATGTACAGTCATGGCCAAAAATATCGGCACCCTTGGTAAATATGATCAAAGAAGGCTGTGAAAATGAATCTGCATTGTTAATCCTTTTGATCTTTTATTAAAAAAATTCAAATAAAAGATCAAAAGGATTAACAATGCAGATTAATTTTCACAGCCTTCTTTGATCATATTTACCAAGGGTGCCGATATTTTGGGCCATGGCTGTATGTCTGTTGTCCACTTAAAATCTTTTTCCAAACGTAGCAAGCGAGCAAAACAACAAATTTGGACAAATAAGAGGCTCCCTTTTTAAAAGCTGATTTTAAAAAAGCCGCCAATATTTCAGAATTATTATTATTGTTATTATTTTATCTGCAGGACTCCCTTACATGCATCTGCGTATGCGGGAAATGTCGCAGCGCTGAAGTTGGCATTGACCTGCGGCTCACATGTAAACTCAGTCGATTATACAGGGCGCTCTGCATTAATGGTTGCTGCTGAGAATGGGCATACTTCTGCTGTGGGTTTGTATTGTCAAAAGAGCTTTATATCATGTAGAATTGTTGCATACATGTATATAACACTGGTTTTAAAAGATGTAGTACATGTGTTATCTTTATCTTAGTGATCAGCTCAGACTTTTTTGGTTGCAGATATCTTGCTTCATCAGGCCGGGGCAGACCTCTCGCTGCTGGACATCGACAGGAACTCAGCACTTCATATCGCCTGTAGAAGAGTAATTACCCCATCACTCATAGTGACCTATTAAACAGCATGCCGGGTGCGATGAGTTTCCATTATAAATGATCATCACGTTTAACTCAACAGAGTCATGAAATGTGTGCTCTTCTCATTCTGGCGGAGACTGACGACCCAACTCTCATCAATACCACAAACACTGCACTTCAAACGTGAGCATTCACATCTGCATAGGTGTATATGCATCGATTATTTGTTTTTTTTCCACAAGTTTTTCTATCTACATACCATTAGACCTCTGCATATTGCTGCAAGAAATGGTCTTGCCACTGTGGTTGAGGTGCTGCTTACTCGAGGTGCAACGGTTCTGGCCATTGATCAAGATGGTGAGTTTCTCTATGCCCATCACATTGCCAAGAGAGAGCCAAAACTATTAACTAATAGTCATTTACCAATAGCATTGACTAGTAGGTACTGTAGAATTTTTGTGTGTGAAGAGACACATAAAAAAACAACTGCTCACCAACTGCTAGTTTAATAATCTCTTCAATGATTTTCTGATTCATCATGTCATAACATGGTGTTGCCATTTTAAAGTGACAAGTACTAAATTTTCTTGCATGTTAATGTGAGCTTTTGTCTCGACTGCGACAAGCGACTACATTCTGTTAGTCACTTTGTTTGTATTTCTGAACTGCCATGTTAGCTTAGGTAGCCCTTCAAACAGTGGAATCCCATTGGCCCAAAATCCAATTTTGCGTATCAAGCAGCATTTTTGCTTTTAGTGTGGACAGAAAAATGCTTACAGATATGATTAATGTAAACTTGTCACATTGCCTTCTTAGGATATAACTTAAACTAGTAGAATAATGTGTATTTGTTCTGTCTTCTTTAAATACAGTGTCAGTGTTCAGTAGAAACTAACTGAAAGTAACGAAGATACTAACTTAATTACATTTTATCAGCAGTGTGACAGTAACTCAGCTGTTTTATTTCCAGTAATAAGAGCCAATGAGTGTCGATGTATTGTGAAAAAATGCTACTTTGCTGGTATCTCTGACACATTTTACTGATTTGACATTTTAGGACATATTCCGGCTTTGGCATGCGCACCGAACAAAGATGTGGCAGACTGCTTGGCTCTTATAATTTCCACAATGATGCCTTTTTCTGCTGGCACCAGCTGCGGCATCAGTCTGATGAAGCACTGTGGCATTGCTGCATCCCATCAGCCCTTGTCCAAAACCGTGCCTATACAACTGATTACAGAGGAACCATAGAGCTGAGTGGACACCAAACAATATACTGAACTCCGCCACTCTTTTGACTTTGAACTCCTCTTATCTATTCAGAAGGTATTAGAATGTAATTTTTATTGTACAATATTACACAATGCTACTGTTTTAGCATCATGCAGTATATACTGTGACATATTCATTTGTAATACAGTACATCTTTAACTGCACCATTCCATTATGTGCTGAATTCCTCCTTTATATGTAGCCTTAGAAAGTAACTACAATATCTGCTACTGTTTTAGCATCATATAGTATACATGGACAGAAATGTATTCATTTGTGTTTGCATGTGTGGGTACTCTAAATACGAATTTATCATTTCACTTTTATCTCAGCTTATTACTGATACATTTACCAGCTTTTTTGGACACTTTTTCTGTATTTTTGAAGAGGCAAATTGCGAAAAATAAAAGCATAAAATAAACAATGTTTAGTCACCCTGCAAACTACAAGACGTGATTCCATTAAAATAAATGTTTCTCACTCACAGATTATGAACTTTTAGGTTTTTGCATATTTGGAATCTTATTTTACAGGCATAAATACTGAAATTCATAACACTTTTAGCTCTTTAATTACCTAAACAAACTAAATTACACAAATGTACACAGTTTGTGTCACAGACAACTGTGTGTCACAGTATCACTCTTGCCATTCATGTGTTTGCTGTAACACTAAGGTAGCACTGTGCTTTTATTTGTTTCAATCCTCATTTCTCGTTAGTAAACAGTTCTAGTAGACTTTAATAATCATTTCATACAGTTAACTACAGTAGAGTTGCACAATATGTATTTTAAAGCAAAATAATTTTTACATTTTTAATTGGAGTAAACATATTGGAGTAAAACTAATTGGAGAAAAACAAATGACATATATCCTGATATAGACATCTAAATTCTGATAAAAAATTGACTGAGGTCTAAATTTTTTGCGAAATGTGAATGTTTGCATGTCATATGGAACTACTACCTTCTTTACCATTTTATATATCAGCATATCTACAGGTTTTTTGCTGACATTTTTCCGACAGTTCCTCTGCCTTTTTAAGGCTGCTTTCCTTTTCATTTGCGGATTTCATTTTAATAGTTCAATCATGAAGTAACAGTGTTGCCAGATTGGAAATGTCCAAGTATCGTACCAGAAGCTCAAAATTATCGTATTTGGAAGAAAATGATCATACACGAGTCAAACGTACAGAATACAGCTATTTATCTACCAACAACTTTTTGACGTGACCTGCAAATGACCACAATAGATAAATAACTAGGAGTACTTCAGTGGGAAGGTCCAAACTCCACCTCTGAGTCGCTGTCATCGGAAGCCTGCGTGTTGCCAGATGTTGAGGGGGTCCTTTTGCGTTATACAGATTTGATGCCGTCATGGACCGCAACATAGTTCTCGTGGGCTTAAAAGCAGGGCACCCTCCCGCATTCCTAACATACTCTGAGGTGTGTACGATCAATGAGTAATGATTACAACGACCATCATTTGAAATGAATTCTGAAATTCTGGTACATTATGGGATTTTTTTCATTATTGATCGTACATCGTACAGAGATCAAAATTATCGTACAAATACGATAATTATCGTACATCTGGCAACACTTTGAAGTAATAGTGAACAAGTGAAGTTCAGTGGATTATCACAAAAAAACTTAACAAAAAATAAACATTTTCACAATAAATCACATTTTAATACTAAATACAAACTGGAAAATTTTTCAACAGCTATATGTTAAACATGATGGTATTTGTGCACTTTATAACTACTAAGCACATAGGTACTACAGAAGAAAGCGTTCCAGCCATGATAAAATCCACTTTGATGTGAAACACCAGGTCCCTATCAATACACTTCGCTTGCAGTTGCTGATGCTTTGGGGAAACTCCGGCTGTATCCGGAATCGCCCCCCATACCCTCATTCACTATTCCCTACATTAGTCCACAAATACAGTTCACTTGAAGGAGTCGATGAAAACGAGTGAGTGAATTCGGACACTGAGTGCACCGGAAGGACTGCCGCTTTTGCATAGTTTGCTTGCTGTTTAATAATCATTTGAAACGGGCAGCTCCAGTAGTAAGATTAAAGGATTTATCTTGAACTCTGTCACGGAAATTATGTATAAACCATAGTTAAACAATTTAATAATCAATTTACAATGAATTTGTACCTGTGTTGTATTACGCTAAAATTAATGGATGAGTCAGCTGCGGGCGCCATCTTCTGGCGAGACACGGGAATTCATTCGACTCTCACAGTGCATTATGGGTTATCTCTAGCCGTTGAGTGTACATCGGTTGCAGTGTATTGTGGGATTGAATGAGTGCACTCGAGAACGTCCACTATGGTTTCGGACACCACTAAAAATGGCTGTCCCCTCAAATAGTGCCCTATTTGAGGGTATAGGGGACGATTTCGGATACAGCCCCCGTTTCTCTGAAATACTGTAGCCTAATTGAATCACAAATGTGCACCTGCACGAACAACTGGCAACTGGCAAAACGGATGGAGCCATTCACCTATTCGAGTCAGCGCTGAATGCCATTTCATCATAATCTTTCTCCTTCAGCACGAAGATCATCTCCTCACTGACTCTGAAGAACACGAAGAAGACGTCCTGCTCACTGTGGAAGAGCCCCAGCAGTGGATTACTGCACTGACAGCGGTTTCATCTGAAAACAGTGCTACTTCCTTGTGGCTAGTATCCAGCGAGACCATTAAAGCATATTTCCTGCTACATCTGTTGCAAGATGTTGTGTCAAGAGTGTGGCACATGGCATGGAGGGCACCCCTGCATGTCTCGGATGAGCTCTGAGTGATCACTGAGCGCGAGCGATTGCTTTCAGCAAAGATCCCACCCCTTATGCAGGTCAGCTGCATCAGATCACCAAAGACATTCATCGACCCAGCAGTCTGACAAAGCCCACGCTGACACCTGCTCAGTCTCTACTCTGGCCAGAGTATATGATCAGACAGCGCCCCCGTCAGCTTCAACAGCTGCTACTTTCTTGTTCTGAAGAAGGATGGTGGCCTCAGGCCCATCCTTCAGTTGAGACTTCTGAACTGAGCCTTAATTAGACAGACATTCAGAATGCTAACATTGAAGCAAATCCTCTCGCAAGTTTGCCTAGGGGACTGTTTTTTCTCGGTGGATCTGAAAGATGCTTATTTTCATATCCACGCCGTTCCCATCACAGACCGTTCTTGAGATTCATCATCTTGGTGGCTTACCAATATACACTCACCGGCCACTTTATTAGGTACACCTGTTCAATTGCTTGGTAACACAAATTGCTAATCAGCCAATCACATGGCAGCAACTCAAAGCATTTAGGCATCTAGATGTGGTGAAGACGACTTGCTGAAGTGCAAACCGAGCATCAGAATGGGGAAGAAAGGGGATTTAAGTGACTTTGAACGTGGAATGGTTGTTGGTGCCAGACGGGCTGGTCTGAGTATTTCAAAAACTGCTGATCTACTGGGATTTTCACGCACAACCATCTCTAGGGTTTACAGAGAATGGTCCGAAAAAGAGAAAATATCCAGTGAGCGGCAGTTGTGTGGACGAAAATGCCTTGTTGATGTCAGAGGTCAGAGGAGAATGGGCAGACTGGTTAGAGATGATAGAAAGGCAACAGTAACTCAAATAACCACTCGTTACAACCAAGGTATGCAGAATACCATCTCTGAACGCACAACACGTCGAACCCTGAAGCAGATGGGCTACAGCAGCAGAAGACCACACCGGGTGCCGCTCCTGTCAGCTAAGAACAGGAGACGGGAGGCTACAATTCACACAGGCTCACCAAAATTGGACAATAGAAGATTGGAAAAGCATTGCCTGGTCTGATGAGTCTCGATTTCTGCTGCGACATTCAGATGGTAGGGTCAGAATTTGGCGTAAAGAACATGTAAGCATGGATCCATCCTGCCTTGTCTCAATGGTTCAGGCTGGTGGTGGTGGTGGTGGTGTAATGGTGTGGGGGATATTTTCTTGGCACACTTTGGGCCCCTTAGTACCAATTGAGCATCGTTTAAACGCCACAGCCTACCTGAGTATTGTTGTTGACCATGTCCATCCCTTTATGACTACAGTGTACCCATCTTCTGATGGCTACTTCCAGCAGGATAATGCACCATGTCACAAAGCTCAAATCATCTCAGACTGGTTTCTTGAACATGACAATGAGTTCACTTTACTCAGATGGCCTCCACAGTCACCAGATCTCAATCCAATAGAGCACCTTTGGGATGTGGTGGAACGGGAGATTCGCATCATGGATGTGCAGCCGACAAATCTGCAGCAACTGCGTGATGCTATCATGTCAATATGGACCAAAATCTCTGAGGAATGTTTCCAACACCTTGTTGAATCTATGCCACAAAGAATTAAGGCAGTTCTGAAGGCAAAAGGGGGTCCAACCTGGTACTAGCAAGCTGTACCTAATAAAGTGGCCAGTGAGTGTACAATAGACTGTCTCTGGCACCTCGTAAGTTTAGGAAGTGTGTGGACACAGCCCTCTCCTCCCGAAGCAGAGGGGACTGCACATCCTGAATTATCTTGACGATTGGCTAGTTTTGCCCCAGTCGGAGTGTGAGCTATTCGAGCACAGGTCCGTGCTCCTCAGCCATTTGAAATGCCTAGGGTTCAGGATCAATTCTTGTCGGTCCAGGAATGGCATTGGCACATCAACTGACTACAAATGAAGGCAGTTTTAAGGCACTGTAAGCCTTCCTGACAGATATGAAGGGGTGCCACGTCCTGGTCTGTTTGGAGAACATGATGGTGGTAGCCTATATAAACCTAAAAGGGGGGTCTCAGGTTTCGCCTGCTGTTCAACTTATGCTGAGTTCACACTGCACGTTTCACACCCAAACGCACGTGAGGTCTGATAAGGAAATAACGCAAGCTCATGTGTGAGATCAGAGTTCTTGCAAGAGACTGGAAATGTTATTAAAATGGTAGCCTGCAAGAAGTTCGCGATACAAATGGTCTGTGCGCTGATTTGCAGCGAAAGGGCGAAAAAGAAAAATACAGAGTATGGAGGAGCAAATGGTTATTGTGATGTTGTGGTCTATAACTACTCCCCCAACTTCCCGCTGCCCTGTATCTTGCTCTTTCATTGGCTGTAGGTCATTGCCAATGTATTTTTCAGTCAGAACGTATTTCACACAGCAGGATTTTGAATCGCCGACAGGTCCAGATATTTAGCATGCCAAATATTTTACAGGCGTCGGCGACGTGTCTGCGATTCTCTCAGATCGCGTCTTTGACAATTCACACTGCGTAATTTTCACTCACGCGAACGAGCACCGATTTGCCTCTGATTTCGGCCATTTGTCAGCGATTTCGCAAAACCTGTCGGCGAGTGAAAATCGGGGCTAAAATCGTGCAGTGTGAACTCGGCATTAGGAAGCGCCTCCTACTGTGGGCATAGCACAATTTCTGCTCTCTGAGGGCAGAGCACGTGCTGGGCAAACTGAACCAGGGGCCAGATTCAGACGGTTCAGATGATTTGGAGCATCTTCGGGCAAGCAGAAGTTTTCAGAAGAGAACTCTCACATGCTAGCCCACAAGTGGCCAAATTCACACCTTTATGCCTTCCCCTGGTAGCTCTGCTCCCTCAGGTTGTCAGATGAATCAGGGAGGACTGATCCTTTTAGTGGACCTGCACTGGAGCCAGTGCTGCTAGATGCGGGGCCACGCTCAAGGTATACGTGGCAGCTATTGCGGACTACTATATTCCAGTTGATTTAATAGTCAAGTTCCTGAAGGGGGCTAGAAGGCTGAAACCACCTCGCCCCTACACAGTCCCACACCTGTCCATGGTCAGGGCCCTTAGAGGCCACCTGTTCGACCTCCCTGCTGGCTTTGGCATTGGTCAAGTGAGTAGGAGACCTACAAATGCTCTCAGTGAGCACTTTCTGTCTTGAGTTTGGGCCCAATGACTGTTAGGCTATGTACCTAAGGTGCGTTCCAGCATCTCTGTTACTATATAACGTCTCTGTTACTACATAACCTCAGTTACCTGAGGTAGTGGGAATGAGCAGTGCTTAGCTGACCGTGCTACTGTGCTTGCACCTGTGTTGATGCTTGTCACTCCTCAGTCATAAGATTTGCAGGTGCACAAACATGATTCAGTGGCTAGTGGTTCTTGGCTAGTGATCAAAAGTTTTGTGGTTCAAACCACTAAAGTGTGGTACACTTATAAAATGTGGAGAAATTAATATTGGAATACACATTATACAGTTTGCGAGTTAAAGGCACATGAAATCCCATGTGCCTTAAGGCAGTGTTTCCCAACCGGGGTGCCGTATGTCGAGAGCAGGGGTGCCGTGTAAAAAAATCATTTTTTAATATTTTTAAATTGCTAAAATGTTCAAAAAAAGCATCTGTTATAATAATATCCATTTCTGATGTCGCCAATAATTAGAGATGCACCGAAATTTCGGCTGCCGAAAATTAGTTCACCGCTCAGG